CCTAGTTGAACACCTACGGACGATTTTGGACCAACATGTTACCACCATCATCATAACATCAATTGAGAGAATATCTTCCAGAAGTATGCTGTTCCAGTAATGTCTAATATTAATGACTAGCATATAATTAATGACGGTCCCACCCATTTTCTGTTTTTCTCAACAATCTTAGATAAAGGATTTGATTTCTTGTATGTGTTGATCTGAGGGTTAAGACTGGATGTATTTTAACTATGTTCACCCTGTTTAGGTCATTTGTCCCATTCAGACTGTTTTGCTTAATTTAAGGTGACTGTTTTTCGGTGTTTGGAAAGCCTTTTTGGTCTTTGGTAAATGAATATAACCATTAAAAATGCTTCAAAAAGGGTATTTTGCTGCCTGTGGTTCCCGTTAAGTGCTTCTTCTTCTGAGTTAAGCAGGAGGAAATTACTCAACAGCCAGTCTTTGATGTTCTTTACACAGTCCTCAGTAAGGTGGTTGTGTGTCTATTATTTGATATGTCTCATACATACAGTTGTGTGTCAAGGTAATGCCATGTTAGCAGTCTTGTTCTATCAATTTGCGCTGAAACATAAGAATGTTTTTTTCTCTCCAGTAAATCTTTTTGGAGATCCCAGATTTTGTTCTGACAGTGATGATAGAATGAATAATGATCCCAGTTCCAAAAAGTTGGAACAGTATGTAAATGCTAATTAGAACAGGAAGCAGTGATTTGTAAATCCATTTTGGCCTGTGCACTACAGAAATAGTCCAACTGTTTAAAAGCAGCATTTTTAGGTATTTCACCCTCTATGGTGCATAATAATATTAAAAGATGCAGAGAATCCAGAAACATCTCTGCAAGACCAAAAACCACAAATGTGTGCCCAGGATCTTCGACCCCTCAGATGGCTCTGCATTAAAAAACCACCATGTTCCTGTGATGGATGTCACGGTATGCTCTCAGGAATACTTTGACAAACTGTTGTTAATAAACACTGCTTGTCACTACATCCACAAATGCAAGTTAAGTGCAAATGCAAATATACTATGCACAGAGGAAGCCATATATCAACAACACCCAGAAACGCTGCCGACTTCTCTGGGGTCAAGCTCATCTGAAATGGATGCACAGTGGAAACATATTTTGTGTTCTGACGAGTCAACCTTTCAATTTATTTATGGAAATAATAAATATTGTGTTTTCTGGGCCAAAGAAAAAAAGGACCATTCATAAAAAAAAGCCTGTCATGTTATGATGGGTATTAATAGGTAACTTGGACATGTGTAAAGGCACCATTAAAGCTGAAAGTTATTTACACATATTTGAACAACATATGCTGCCTTTTCTTTTAGATGCCATCTTGTTCAAGGATGCCTATTTCATGCCCATGCCTATTTCAACATGACAAAGCCAAGCCACATTCTGCATGTATTACAACAGTCTGGCTGCCTAATCAGAGAATGTGGGGGCAGTCTCCCCTTTCAAAATATGTTGCAATATGCAAGATGACGTCAAAGGCCCTTGAAGAGCTGAAAAATGGCAAACATTCTGCTTTCAAAACTGGATCAGTTTGTGTCTTCGGTCCCTAAACGATTATTGTGTGCTGTTAAAAGGAAAGGTGATGTAGCACAGTAGTAAACATGCTACTTTATAAATATATAAATGTATGTGTAAATATACATACATTTATATATGCATGTATATATGTATAAATGTAATGAACTGTTGAGCTTGATTTTGGGTCGAGATCGCAAAAAAGAAAATATCTTAGTGACTTTGAAAAAGGGTTCATTATTGGGGCAGTGATGGTAGGAGCTTTGGTCACAAAGACTGGCTAGTGTTTCAATAGAAAGAGAGACTATGACATCTGCTTTAGATATACACCCTTAAAACAGATGGTTCTTCAAAGGTTCTTTAGTAAAGGCAATGGTTCTTTTTAGAACCATGAGTTGTATATAGGACCATTGCATACTTAAATGGTTCTTTGCGTGGTAAAATTGTTCTTCAGACTGATGGAAAATGTGTTGTATATGTTTCTAAATAGCACCAAAAAAGAGTTCCGCTATTGTTACCCATTTTTGGTGCTACATAAACCATTTTCAAAAAGGTTCAGTGACTTTGAATGTGAATCATGAGGAAAAATGGAACAGCAGCTTACTCAGATGACTAAAAATGTCAATGCATCATGATCAGACGTGTCAGCAAGAACAGTCTGTGAACCACTACAGAGAGAGGGGTTTTTATAAAAGGATTGCAGTGCATAAACCCTCGTTAGGCACATGCACTTTTAAAAGAGTTCAGTGGTGTAAAAACCACTGTCACTGGCCTACAGAAATGTGGACAAAAGTGATATATTAGATGAGTCACCATATTCTTTACAAGTTCTGACGGCAGTGATCTCTTCAAAGCTGGTAATGCCCCCTGTCTCATCAGTGTATTCAGTTGGAGACGTTTTGAGTTACTTTTAACACAGAATGTGTTAAATCAGAAAACAATACAAGTACATAAGTGTTAAAAAAGGTAACACAAGTATGGAAATGATGGAAGTCATGTACTCTAGCCTACAGTCAACCAATCCCAGTGGGATTTTGGACCAAGACAGGGTTCTCCATCACCATCACCAAAGCACTAACTGAGGAAATATGTTTTGTATGTCCGTCCAGCACAGTTGTAACTGGAAGATCTGTATTATAAGCTATGCAATTTTTATACTGATACTTCTCTAATAATCTAATTTTTTCACTTTTATATTCCTGTAGTACTGGTTCTTTCTTACTTGGCTTTTTTAATATCACTGGGTTAAAAAAAAAAATAAGAGGATGATGCATACATACAATTTATTTTATGTGTATGTATTGTTTTATTTTTCTTGTACATAGTGAAACATGTTTTGCTCTATTTACGTTAGAAATTATGGCATTTGTAGAAGAAATATTTCATTTTCGTTCTTGTATACAAAGAATGAAAGTAATATTATTGAGTTTTGTTTAAAATGAAAAATATTAATTTAAACATTACATTTAAAAGTACATACATCAGTGTACGCATGCACAAACTAATAATGATAGGGGTCATACATCTTACTATATAAAAATATTGAAGTGCATCATGCTTTATTTGTTTTAATTGTTTTTGTTTTAAAGAGGGCTGAATGACTTCAATACATTGTTCCATCTAATTTTTAAACGCAACAGAATTTCCATTTGTGAATGTAAAATGTACCTATCAAAAGTACATGATTTATCATGCAGGCATGAGATCATCTTTCTCTGTGATTTTCCCAAAGACCAAATAGTATGCTTCTTTAATAAACTATGCTTTTCATCAGTGTTGTGAACGAAAAAGGCACTGAGGTTTTAACAAAAAATTTTCACATTTTGACAATGCCAAAAACCATCTCTGAGGTTTTTTTTTTTTTGTACAAATGAGTAAAAATCTTTCTTTTTTTAGCTGGGGAGATTTTGTGAATAAGCTTAAATGACACTTCTTGAACTTTATTATATGCCAGACCCTCTTCTATTCAGTATCATCTAGGAAGTGGTTCCAATATGAAATCATCTGAACAAAAGTAAGAATATTTGGAACAGAACTCTATCTATGTCTCATTACCTTTTTTAAAGCAATAGAATGACTGTTGTTGGTTATTTCTAAGATGAGTGAAGGGATCTGTACTTTAACTCAACATAAATCATTAAAATACATTTAAAGGATCACAAAAACACAAAGTGTCTCTATCCACCTTTAAAATGGGGGTTTGAGCTGTCCCACCTCACTGATACCGAACCTCTTTACGTTTTACAAAAAAAGTCATTTTAACCATTATCCCAGATTTTATGCGCAACCCTGTTCCCCAACGCTGTTCGCCCACATAAATTTTTTTTTGATTATTTATGATACAAGAATTTGCACTCAGCAGAATGACCATCATACAGATCATTGTTCTCATTATATTTTTTCAATTTACACACAAAAAATAGATTTGGCTGCATGAGTAAAGCTTTATCATTCAACCCTATTAGCAAAATTTCTGTTACAAAAAAGGAATAAATATATATTTTTAATTTATGTGAATTATATGGTTATTAATAGTTAGCATGCATCAGGTGCACAACTGTCAAGCTAACCTCTCCTGAAGTTTGCAATCCTGTTACTTAATTTTTTTAACCTTCATTTTTTTTCAAATAAAAATTATTCTACATCATACAACTCCCTCTTCTGCTTTATGCTGTAAACATTATGTATTTTTGCTGTACATTTCAGGAAAAAATGCTCATATAGTACCTGATTTGACAGCCTGAGGTGGGAAGATAACATTTTCTAAAGGTTTAGCACTTACTTCCATTAAGACCTTGTCAAAAACGTCATAGATAAAAGTTTATTTTTAGAGTTTTGAGGCCTAATATGAACTTTCCTCAGGGGAAGTGCCTGATATGAGCAGGGCTGAACTGTTGGTCAGTCTCTGCCTGAATAGCAAACAGACGTTAGACGATGTGGCACCAGATAATGTTACCTTTGCATAATCCTGCTTATAGGTTAAGAAAACTGCTCATAAGTGAAAAGTAAACCATTGGAATTAGGGATGGGTGATAAGGCAAAAATCACAATACTTGAAAATGTTTTCTCAATACACAATACAATATCAGGATTTTAGGTTTTTGAAGTTAGAACAAGCAAAAAGCCCCAGCAGCTCATTTTGCACTCTGTGTAAAGACTCACGCAGTTGGTCGGTGTTGTTTGTATCCATGTAAATATAAAGATCACTGACCAACTGCATGACACTATATTTGTGCTCAGAAGTTACTGTAATTGTAACATCCTTTACCACGATAACGACAAAATACTGTCATATTGGCCACCTCTAAACAGAATTATATAATATGATTGAGGTAGTCCTGAAATACGACGACCCTTGACGTCTTCAAACGTTCAGACACGACTCTGAACTATTTTTGTTTGACCTTCTTATCATGGCGCCCTTTAACGCCCACTTTCACAGAGCGCATGCGCAGCTCTTCCATTTTCAAGCTTTTACCGCGAAACCGAGCAGGAGGGAGTGGGTGAGTGGTGAGCTCAACAAAACAAAGTCGAGAAATGTAGGAAAACTGAAGATTGTTAATTTAAGTGTACGAAATCAGCTGGCTAGCGGTGCTGCTTCTACTGTCGACACTTGTTTCCGAGCTTTTTTTCCAATTAGAAGCTGAACAATAAGGCATTTTAAACCAGTGCACCGAGATGTGAGGTCTGCGTTGTGTTGAGGCTGCGTCACTAACGGACAACAGATTTGAGTTTGGAAAGTGTTCGTGGTTTATTGATTTATTTTTAATAAGGGGTCTGATTACTTCAGTAAAATAGCGTCTATATTATCGAACTGCTGCAGTCATTAAACTGTTGATGTGTAGATGTTAACATGCTGATGATGATGAATAGTTTTACGTCCCACACTTTTTATTAAGGATAATAAGGGCTATAGGGGCCCATTACGTCAGGTCGAATTTTCTGGGAGCAGAGTGTCCAAATAATGATATTGTCTGAGTTTTTAGTGCAGTTGTGCAATATGTGCAGTGTATTACATAGCAGCTACTGTTGAAATTGTACATGTCGCAGCAGCCATCTCGTGATACAGTGGAGGTTGGGGTCTGGAAACCCATTAATGGCTGAATTCTTGTGTCAGCGGCGTATGAGGTGATATGGTGGTTGGAGGTTGGGCCATTGGGTTAGAAACTGTTGCGTAATCTGACGGTCCTTGATTTCACAATCCTGTATCGTCTTTGAGATCGGAGACGTAAGATAAGATTGTGTTGAGGGTGGGTTTTGTCCTTGATAATCTTTTGGCATCATCTAAGGAACCTGAAGTAGAAGATGTCCTCTAGTGATGAGAGGGCCATTCCTGAGATTGTCTGAGCTGTCCTGACCACCTGGCTGCAGACAGTTGCGGTCCTGGTTGGAGCAGTTTCCTAACCACACTGTGACGTAGCTGTTGAGAATACTCTCAATGACGCACTTGTAGAAGTTCCTTCTACTGGCCGAGATGCCAGTTTTCGTGAGCCTCTTCAGGAAATGCAGTCATTGTTAAGCTTTCTTAACCAGTTGTGTTGTGTTAGGAGACCAGGTGAGATATTCACTGACATGGACACCAAGAGATTTGAAGGTGCTCACTCTTTCTACCTTCGTCTGATGAATGAGCAGTGGTTTGTGCTGCTCTGCCCTCCGCTGATAGTCATCGGTCATCTCTTTCGTTTAGTCACCATTAAAGAAAAGACTTTTTGCCTGACACCATGCCACCAGGTTTGCCATCTCCATCCTGAGGCAAGTTTGATGATGGTGGTGTTACTGTGGGAGGCAACATGTTCACCCATAAATAGGGTGTACAGCACTAGGGCAGCAACAAACGACTAATTTGATAGTCGAATAATCTTTCGATTATTGAAACGAATAATCCATTATTCGGATTATGAACCGCTACCAAATAACTCTCATGTAGCGATCGACTTCTAAATTTAGCTGGAGGTTGTTTTATGCATTTGCTAACAATGAAGACAATAAAGAGGTATAAATTCACTGTTTTAATGAAGTTTCCTGCTAATACAAAAGATAACTAAAACTCCAGTATTTTTTTTCCTGTCAGAATTTAAAACTAAGGATGTACAAAGTAGCAGCAATAAAATATAACAAAACTAAATCGGTTTTCCAAATAATAAAAAAACTTTACATTTCAAATTTAATCAGTGCAGTGTGTGCTTTGTGCATTCTGCTGTCTGTCTACACTCTGTTGCAACAAAATTCTACCATCACAGGTCTTTATTGAAATAGAGGAGAGTCAGCATCTCTCTGCACTCCTGTGAGAGACTTGCTCTCCTCAGAGAGCTGCAGAGAAGACGTGCTCTGATGGAGCAGATGGGAAAGTGGTGAACGTTTGTAGCAAACTTGTTCTTTATGAACAGTTAAATTTGAACAATTTTGTTTAAACACTTATTTCAACGGTAATCCATTGTCCAGCTGGCCTGTATGTTCGCGTAGAACTACCTCCTGTGTGCCAAATTTGAACACACTGGTGGCTTTGACTTTATTTGGAAAGTGAACAGGGTTGTTGTGAATAATTTTTACTCGCCTCTCCGTTCCAACTTCATTAACGATTCAAGAGAAAAAGCATTTCGAAATACGTTATACCTCAGCTCATAACATGAAGTAGGACGTCTTTGAACATTAACTTTAGCTAGCTAGCACATCTAACTTACTGTCGTCATGAATCTTCTTCAGCCAGTGAGCCGAAGTTTGTCCTCTTTAGGTGCTCCAACATGGAGGATGTGCTCCCCTGCCAGCTGAGGTTGGCTTTACAAATAGCACAACTGACAACCTTTTTTCTGAGTTTAGCGTAAAATGCTCCCACACTTTTGAGAATTTTGTTCTTGAGGCTGCCATTGTGCTTTTGTTAACTCTTCAGTGAGCGGTAATCTCAAAGCATTCCTAGTTACTGCGAGAAAGACACGTAATGTCACCAACTAATCGACTATTAAATTAGTTGCCAACTAATTTGGTCGTCGATTTTAGTTGACTAAGCTGAATAATCGTTGCACCCCTATACACATCACATGATTCGGCCCTGGGGGATGCGTGTTTTTATAATTTGTATGCTGGAGGTGTGGTTTCCAGTCCGTGAAGACTGAGGTCTGCCTGTCAGGAATTCCATCACCCAATTGCACAAGGTGGCTGTCAGTCTAAGGGTTTGGAGCTTTTCAGTCAGCCTTAATGGGATATGAGTGTTGAATGCTGAGCTGCAGTCAATGAATAGCATTCTCACCTTCCTCTCTGGGTGTTTAAAAGATGTGCAGATGGTGTCTTCTGTGGATCTCTTTGCTCTGTGTGCAAACTGGAGGGGGTCCAGAGTGTCCAGTATAATGTTCTGTATATGAGCCAAGGTGAGTCTTTCAAAGCACTTCATTGCAACTGAAGTCAGTGCAATTACACTGTTGTTGTTAAGACAGGCCACTGTGCCTTTGTTTGGGAGTGGCACAATAGTGGTTGTCCTGAAGGGGGTGGGAATTAGAGCATGTGCTAAAGAAGGATTGAAAATGTCCGCAAAGACCTCAGCCAGCTCTGCTGCACATGACCTGAGAGCACAACTAGCTATGTTATCTGTGCCTCCAGCTTGTTTTGGATTTGCTCTGCTCAGAGTTTTTCTCACTTCTGTAGATTTGGCAGAGTTGGCTCCTGCATCTCCTTGCTCACTGGAACTCTCTTCTCTGGTTTTGTGTTGAAGGCTTCAAAGTGGACATAGATGTCATTCAACTCATCTGGCAGGGCAGTGGGGCAGTTGATTTGCCCTCTATTCTTGTTTTGATAATCTGTGAGCTTTTTAGCCCTGACCACATGCACCTGGTGGAACATACTGACCAGACAGCACACAGGCTAGTAACAAGTACTCAGCTAAGGGAAAAGTAAAAAAAAAAATACAAGAAATAGAACAAAGAATAAAGACTAATAAAAAAACTGTCAATGTGAAAGGAGCTCAGGAGATGTACAGATAAGATGTGTACACATGCAGATATGAATCTACGTATGTAGGTCAAGTAGTCATGTACTATAAAATATACTATAAAAGCTATTATGTACAGAGTAATATGAACATTTGTAAAAATGTCCTTGTACAGTAGTGCAAAAGCATTATGCTACAGGAGGAGTTGTACTGTAGTACATTAAGGAAGGTTTGTTGGTTCAGTTTAGGTTTGAAGTGTGACGTGTCCACTGTGGTTGATGGGTGATACAGCTCTGGGGGAAAAAGCTGTCTGGATGTGCTGGTTTTGATGTTTTTTTGTAGTCAGTAGAGTTGCTTGACACATGTTGGAGGCACACAGCATGGACCGAACCTCGTTGTTTATCGGGGGTTTTTGATTGGGGTATGTCTGGATGCGCTTTGTAGGCACACAAGTGCTGATGTAGCTTGTCACACCTGTTAATGGTACTATCCTCTTGCATAGCAGCATCTTTGAACATCTCCCAGCTTGTGCTAGCAAAGCAGTCTTGAAGCATATAATCTGCTTCTTTAGTCAGTGCCTTAATAGTTTTACTCACTGGGGGCTTAAAGACTGGTCTGTATGCTAGGTAGAGAAACAAGGAGATGTGGTTTGACTATTCAGAGTGGTACTGATGAGTCAGCTTTTGGTTGAATGTAGGTGGCCAGCATGAAAACAGCTGTGAATTCCCTTGGTAAATTAATCTGTCTGCATTTCGACATCAGACACTAAGTGGGTTTTCATGCACTCAATAATCCGATCATAATTGTATTGCATAATCATAATTGTATGATAACTGCAGTTATCTGATTATTCAAATGGTCATGTAAACACCATACTCCGATCTAGAAATCTGATTAAGAAATCCGATAAAGAGAGCTGGATTTTAGGTCAGTAATCAGATTTCTCCGATTTCTTTCGAATTTCTCAGTCTGCGCATGCGTGAGAACTGAGAAACCCGAGAGACTGCTCCCGAAATAAGCAAGCAGCGTTGCCGCAAGCGGCGCTGAAACCAAACACAAAATAAAGTATTTAAATATTCTTAATCTTCTAGATGATGTATGTTCATATTTTTAAGTAAATTGGCGCAATGTTTAAATGAATGTTTGAGTTTTACATTACGTTTACATCACCTCTTCTTCTGTGAGTTTATTGGCTGGTTACAAAGCAGAAATCCAATTACTGCCTGACTCATGTAGACCCGGAGTTTTCCATTACCTGATTACTCAAGTGCTTGTAAACGTGTTGATCAGATTACTGTCGAAATCTGATTTTCTGAAGTTATCGGATTATTAAGTGCATGACAACTCACTCAGTGTTTGTGTCCAATCTGAACATCAATGCACTACATACATTATTAAACACAAACACCTCCCACAAATACATTTGTTCTTCCTGGAAAACAAATAAACAGGACAATTAAATCATTAATTGCAATTATTATATAACAGTTCATCATCAGCTAAATTTCTCGATTGTGACAGCCCTAGGCATAATAAGAATTTTTTCAGACAAAGGGGAAAAAAGACTTTTTCTCCTCTCCCTGGTGGGAAAGTATGGAGGTAAAATAAAAAATGAATGTGAGTAAACATTTTGGAGTTTGTACATGTTTTATTTTTGGTCACAATTTCTTAATTTGTTCCCACGATTAACAGTTTGTTCTTTCATTTTCTTTTAATTCGAGGATACGTTTTTTTTGTGCGCAAACAAATAAATGTCGTAGATACGGGCTGTTTTATTTGTCATGTGCCTAAGTAGGCTAACAGCTCCCTGAAACTGTCTGACAGGTTTTGGTTTGTTAGATTGATGTGATAATGGACAGAGATGTGCTGATAAGGTTTGATTTTGATTTGGGGGCGTTATGAGATCACTGTAGCTCCTCTTCACAATGGGGCTTCGTAATCTGCAAATGGCTTGCAGATTCATCAGAGCAGCTGCAGCTTCGTGATGAAATGAAGGAAGACAGTAAACTACAACCTTCACTAAACTGCACTTTCTAATAATAATTGTATTTAACAGAGGTGAAGCCGCAGCGCAGCCGCTTAGCACTTTTTCTGCTCATGAGTCAAGCTGCAGTATTAAAGACCATCACAAAGTAACAGAAGGAAACATTCAGGGTTTCAACATCCTAATATTAAACACACACAGAAACATTTGTGTGACTCGCATGATTAAATTTAGCCATTTTAGTGGTTTTATCTTCACAGTTCATTAAATATAGTTATTCAGTTCTTTACAGCAAATTATTAAACATAGTTATTCAGTTCTTTGCAGCACATGTAGTTAAATAAACATAATGTTCATTTAAACTTTGACCTCATTGTGTCAAATCACCTTTGAAATATACATTCATATATTATTCTCTCCTTATTTGTATTATTTTTTAAAATTTATTTTATATAAGAAATGAATAGACAATCTGTTATACTCTCACTATTAGACATATTGTCAAACCAATAAATAATAAATAGTGAAGTAATTTATTTTATGATTTTAACACTCAAATAAATCTTTTAAACTCTATAAGACCTCAGGATGTCAAAACAGCTTATAAATATACAGATATTTAATAAGACTTTTTTGGTACTATAGTTACAGTTATTTATTTGATAAAAATTTTAATAGTCCAATTAATCTGTTAAACTCTCACCACACGAAGGTTTCTGTGTGTGTTTAGCTTGAGGATGTTGAAACTCTCAACATTTCTTCCTGTAATTGTGTGACACTCCTTTTTGACGCATCCATCTAACAAACCAAAACCCTTCAGAAAGTTTCAGGGAGCTGTTAGCCTATTTGTACAAATAAAACTGTCTGTATGTACTACATTTATTTTGTTTGCGCATGAATTAAAAAAAAAAAAGCACAATTAAAAAGAAAACATGAGCACGATTAAAAGATAACAAGAGAACGAATTAATAAAACATTACCACAAATAAAATGTACCCACAAATTAAATGAAAGCGAGAACGAATTGTTAATCGTAGAAAGGAATCAAGAAATTCTGACCACGAATGAATGAAAACGTGTATGAATGACAAAATATTAACTCAAATGAGTTTTTATTTTTTTTACCTCTGCCTCCTCCGGGGCTCCCTAGGAAAGTGCTTCTATAATAGCGATAATCAGAAACTAAAACTCGTCACTAATGTAGAAACTTTAATCCTCCTCTGCACTTTGAACTCAAACTCCTGAAGTGCATTGTTTCTAAGAACAAAGTGAAATATTAATGTTTTAGCTCTAGGGAAGTAAAAACAATAGTTCTGGGAATGCATTTAAGGGTTTTATTACACTTCAGTGGCCTGAATTTCCAACTGTGGTGACTAGAATCTCAGAAAATGGAGTAACAGAAGTTAGCCAGTTGCTCTACCCTGTCTATAATAGGTACCATAACATAACTGTCTTATTGTCTGTTATTTCATTTCTACTTTACTTTTTCAACCAAAAAATGAAAATAAAAGTGTGTGCAGATGAATTGCTTTCTCAGGTTTCATTTCTGCTTTCATTTCTCTTCCAACAGTGACTAACTGTCCTGATGAAACCTGCTCGAGGTTCAGCTCGATCCTCCACACAGCGTCCTAAAGGTGGAAGTCGAGGTGGAAGAGGGTTCCAGCAACAAAGTCAAGTACGTCTGGATATTTGATATTTGTAAGGTGAAACCTTGAGTACTGTTAGCTAGGGGTGTAACAATACACTTACTTTAAGGTTCAGTACTATTTTTGATTCTGAGGTGAAGATTCGATTCGGTTGTCGATATGTTATTTGTTTAAAATATCTTGGTTCTACAGAGCTCCAATTATGTGCTACACTGATTGATTTGGCTCAGGAAATACAAATTATATTAGTTTGCCTGTGTGAAATAGTAATCTTATAAAATAGGCAAAACCTGAATTGCCACATAAACCCTAATATAGCTTGACCAACCAAAGATGTATCAATGATACTGTTATATTTAGATTTTTTTTTCTCTTTCGAGATCATTACACTCATACTGTTAACCAGACTGGTTTGCCAGTTATTTATTATGAGCAAAAGTTGTGTCCATGATGTTACTGTTTTTAAAATTATGCTAAAAGGTTCATAAGCTTTTAAATATTCTGTGTTTTAGAAACCATTGCCTAATGATCGGAGTACGCAAGACAAGTCGAGCAAGAGCAGCGGTGAGTTTGAGGAAAGCTGCTCATGCTTGTTGATGATGAAGAAAAAACATGATGTCATTTCTAGGAGTTGCAAAACTCTAAACCTGTGATGATTTGCTCTTGACCAGACATGTGTGTTTTTACTAGAGCCCATTGTGTGCCAACAGCGCTACTGAGCACAGTCTAATCGTGGGCATGTTAATACCTAAGATATAGTTATAGTTCAGCATTCATGTCCAGTTGTCCTGACTTTCCCTTCTTCATGAAGCAGTGTCTGCGGTGGCTGGAAAAGCCCAAAAAGGCCAAAAGCTGAGAAGACAGGAGAATTGGAAGCCGTTGAGCAAATCCAACATTGCAGCCATTGACAACGTGCTGGGTTTGTCAATACTGTGAGCAGTGTGAAAATTATGGTCACCTTCATTAAAATGTACATGCCAGCTTGCTTAAACTTCCAAATCTGAAAGTGTTTTTCTTGCTGTTGTGTCAGATCTGTTCTCACAATGAGGAGGAAAGAAAAAGAGGAATCGCAGAAACACCTCAACTTACTAAAGGATCAGTAAGAAATGTTGAAAAATTAGAAATGCCCTTTAAATGTAATACGCAAAGTTGATCTTGTATATGCAGATCTGTTGTTTTGTCGCTATTGAAATGTTACCAAGCTTATGATGATCTCCTTTTTTCTGATATGGTCTCATGTTGTAACTGTTTTTTTGCAACACTTTTTGCTTTGTTAGGTTCCTAGCAAAATGTGCCCAGCTCCCCGTGCCGTCACGGAAATCGGAAAACATGATGCAGGTGTCCCAGCAGTTCCAGGAAGAGCGCCAGAAGATTAACCATGGCAAAAAAAAACTTCAGGCATACGAGGTAATTGTTGGTATTGTAAAATGCCCTTTTTGTCAATGCACGATTTGACAGACCTATTTAGAAGTTAAATTGTGATGCATCAGCGTGGCACTACATGATTTGTAAGTTGTAGTGTTTAAATTAGAGTGTGATTTTGCTGTGTAATAAACATCAGTCAGAATCTTAACATTTTAGCTGCTGATTAATTGCCATCTAAATAATTGCAATCAGCTCCAGTAATTACTGATCACTGGAGTATGTTATAATTGTGACAAGCCTATTAATGAATGATGGTTCTCTGCTGTGTGTAGTTTTTCTTTTGGACTGTTACAAAAATACCTGTATGTCACCAATTTGATGCTTAGGTGTGCTTGTGTTTTTAGGAGAGCAGTAGAGAAGTGCTTAGCAAGCTGGAACAGCTGCAGGGAACGAGGGACATTTTGGAGGACAAGTGCAGGATCATGAGGGACAAACTGGAGACAGAAGAGGAAAATGCACAGGAGGTACGCACTAAAGTAAGAAGTACACCAAAAGCACATTTAAAATGTGATGGAGCAGAGACAGTTGCATATGCAGTTTTAATAGTTGGACATATCCTGTAACTACACTGGTTTGGCCACATAATAAGTAAAACCTACAGTATTGGTGAGCTTCATAGTAGTGTTGACTGATCATGATCTCAAAGTCAGAATACTTTAAAAAAAAAAAAATAATAATACCATTACCCTTTTGTGGTCCTTGGGCCAATACTGAGAATGGGCCAGTGGTCCATAGTCCAGTTTGTCATAAAAATGAGTGAAAAAATATTTAACTTAACAACACAAAAGAAATATAAAATGTTTTCAAATAAAGTTGGTCAGTAGGGCAAAATGTAACATCACGATACTTCAGGACATTTTTTATGATACATAATGTATCACAGTATTAATTTTTTTTCTGACTTCCAGGCAAAGTAGTGCCACATTTTCAAAATACTGTCAAAAGCTGTGAATCCAGTTACTTGTATTCAACATTTTACACACTGTACTGCACTAAATCCAATTAAACAGCACTAATTATTCTGTGTTTTTAAGCAAACATGCAGTTGGGAAGTAATTAAGTACTTACGATATCCATGATATGACCAGAAAAGCATATTGTGAGATACTGTGATTAAATTTTTCACACTCACAATAAATTGCCCAGCACTATTTATAAACACTACATAACATTAATACAAGCCCTGCAAAAATGGTGCACAGAGGCAGCTTTTTGATTGAAGTGTTTCAATAACTACTGATATATAGCTGGTATAGTGGAAAACACATTTTTATTTATCTAATTAAGGTGGTATTAATCATGATATAGCATTGAAATTTCGTTTATGTGCAAGGCCCACTCGCAACAACAAATATCTTCGGAAAAAAAGTGTGTCTATAATGTGTTGAAACCCTTCAGTTACCAACTGCAGCTCATCTGCTGCAAAAATTGTCACCTTTTGTATAGATTAACCACAGCTGACTAGTCACTATTTGAGGAGTGTGCTGTTCTGACATCATGGTGGTATAAGTGGTGCTGGCATAAGTTTATCAGACAGTAGTGTTGCTAGGAATATGCAAGTGTCGCTGCTGGGTTAAGAACATATGAGCTTTGGTTGGTTGGTACCAATAAAATGAAAAGGAGGTTTCATTGTGTTAGTGATAATTAAAATGAAAAGATTAATGTAAAAAAACATTTTTAGGAAAATCTCACTTTTTTGTGTAGTGGCATGCAAAATTGCTGTTACTGAGAATAGTTAAGTGACTAGAAGATTAGTGTATTAATTTTGTTTTGTACAATTTTGGATTTTAAAAAAAAAGGAAAGGAGCATCATGCAAAAGTTTGGGCACCCCAAAGGATTTGATCTCTCAGATTACTTTTACTTATTAGGAAAGGTCAGGTGATAGAAATATCAAGGCTTTATAAATACTTTGACCCCTCAAACCCTGTCCCAACAATCAGCAGCTATGGTCTCTTCTAAGCAGCTGCCTAGCACTCTGAAAATTAAAATAATTAATGCCCACAAAGCAGGAGAAGACTGTAAGAAGATACCAAAGCGTTTTCAGGTAGTCGTTTTCTCACTTTGAATTGTCATTAAGAAATGGCAGTTAACAAGAACAGCAGGTCAAGTTGAGTTCTGGAAGATCAAGAAAACTCATCGTAGGATTGCTAGAAAGGCAAGTCAAGACCCCTGTTTGATTGCAGAAGATCTTCAGCAGACTCTTGAGTTGTGGTGCACCGTTCTGTTGTGCGGGCACACTTGGACAAATATAACCTTCAAGGAAAGGTCATCAGAAGAAAACATTTCCTGCATTCTCACCACAAAATGTTTGCAAAGCACATCTAAACAAGCCCGATGCATTTTGGAAACAAGTCCTGTGGACTGATGAAGTTAAAATCTTTTTGGCCAAAAACGTTTTGGCCACCATGAGGAAAGGTGTGTTTGGAGAAAAACAGGTGCAGGATTTCATTAAAAAGAACTTCTCTCCAACTGTTAAGCACGGGGGGTGGGATTTAATCATCCTTTGGGATGGAGAAGAACAGATTCAATTAAATACCAGCAAATTCTGGACACAAACATCATACCGTGTGTAAAAAGGCTGAAGATGAAAGAGGATGGCTGTTACTATAATATACATTAGATAATGATCCTAAACACACTTCAAAATCCAAAATGGACTACCTCAAGAGGCACAAGCTGAAGGTTTTACTATGGCCCTGACAGTTCTCCAACCTAAACATCATCGGAAATCTGTGGAGAGACCTTAAAAGAGCAGTGCAAGACGCCCCAAGTATATTACAGAACTAGAAGAACAGGCAAAAATCACTCAAACAAGAATTGACTTTTGCAGGCTGGCTGCAAAAAGCGTTTAGAAGCTGTGATACTTGCCAAAGGGGGTGTTACTAAGTATTGACCATGCAGGGTGCCCAAACTATTGCTTTGGACCCTTTGCCTTTTTTGTTATATTGAAACTGTAAAAGATAGAAATAAAAAGGTAATCTTGCTTAAAATATTAAAGTAATGTGTCATCTTTAACGTTATGCCTATTGGAAATCGGATCATCTTTTACTTGCTAAGCTTTCAACAGTAGCAGAAATTTTGACTGGGGTGCTCAAACTTTTGCATGCCACTTTAAGTGTGTAAATGTTTTAATCAAACGTAAAAAGTGCTTGAATTGTAGTGAAATTTGACAAGAAATTGTGTCTAGCTGTCTGGAAGCTCTCTGTAGCCTAGAACATTCCAAGACAGAATGGCACAATCTGAAGACAAGTTCATACTACTCCTTTGTAGGTCCAAGAGATGTGGCATGCTCCATTTATGTACTACCGTCTGAAGCGATGAGGGAAAAAAAAAAGTATGAATGTTGCTCTGCTGAAGTAGAATATTATGCATAGTTCATTATATCAAATATCACCCTGAATCACTCTTCTTTCAAAATGTAATGACTTTAGCCATCTCTAACCATCTTCTGAGTTTTAATTAAAAATAGTATGAACCAACATGCATGTGTCACCATACATGACTCATTAGTGAGTTTCCTTTTACTTTCAATGTAGCACTTTGTGTGGTTAAATAGACAGCTATAAACAAATAAACAAATAACATTATTTATGTAGTGACTTTGGCTATGCTGGTAACAATCTATCTGGCCTGGAGAACCCATTATTTCCATAAACAATCTGAAAATTGAACTTGTCAGACCACAAAACATATTTCCACTATGCATTAGTCAATAACAGATGATTTTGAGTCCAGAGAAAGGTGAACCACAACCCATCCCATGCTCATAAAGGACTAGGCCTTTCCTGGATGCTCCTTTTGGACCCAAGAATTATTGTATTACTGTTTAAGATGATTTGAAAGTTTCATGTTCCTAGTTGCCCCTTTTCTAACTTTTTGAAATGTGTTGCAAGCATCAGTTTCAGAATGAACTTATGTCCACACAATGAAGTTGATTGAGTAAAACCTTAAATATTTTGTATTTGTACTGTTTTTCTTCAAATATGACAAAGTAGTTATAAATCACTTTTGTTTTTATCTGCATTTCGCATACTGTCCCAACTTTCTTGGAATTAGGTTTAATTAGTGTGCATTCTGTAGAAACACTGCGGCCAGCAGATATCAGATAGGGACCACAGCCTGTGAGGCCAATGCTATGTAAACAGTACTGTGAGAAACAGAACAAGAGAACAAGCTGTAAACTTGTGAACGTTAAAAAAAAAAAAACAACCACAGTGTACACTCTGTTTGCCAGCTATCAGAATGCATGCTAATCTTAACCCAGACTCAGTTAGGCAACCTCAGAGGTCTTTCCCATGCTGATTTATTGAGCTGTATAGACAGAAAGCAGCTGCAAGCGGCAGTGACCAGGTCCAAGTACACATCAGCACAGTAAGCCATTATGCAGTTTTAGCCAACAAGGCCCAATGCAGTTTGGACCTTATTTACAGAGAGGGGATGAAAAATGCAAGGAAGTCAGAGTTTATCAAAAGGCCTTCATTTGCCACAATTGGTGAGCAGTGGTCTTTAAACATGATACATGCTTCATTTTGTATGTCATGTGCTGTTGAGCTTTATTGAACATGCAAAAGATTGTCAACATAGATGTCAAAAATAAATGACTAATAGTAAAATGTCTGTCATAGATGTATTTGCAAAGTGGTTTGGTTTTCCATGTTTGACCCTTTGATATGCATGACATAATGAGGCCCAATGCACCCATAAGGGGTCCTTTTGGCATAGAGGTGCTAAGTGAAAGTGGTAAAAACGTCTCCATATGTTATGATTATTGATCAGGGACCTTCAACCAAAATGTTTACTGAGTTTTCTTCTGGCTGACGTTTTGACCCATTTTATAATAAGCTGTAGTCTTTGAATAATTCAAAATACCAGACAGGGAGTCCAATTTATGACATGTAATTACAAAGTTATTGAGGTCAGTGAACTGAATTACATGGCACCAAATGTTTATCTGTAGACTTTGTTAGAACATTGTAATAGCATTTTTAATGATTAAGTGTTTTTGAGTGCTAAAGTGGCCCCTAAATGCCAGTCTGGAACAGATTTTGCATACCTCCTCCGATTCTCAATGCATACAAAGGTCTATAATTTTGAGATGAGTCAAACATGAGTTATGAGTTATAGTGATTTAAACTTGCAATTTTGTGGCCATGGAGGCCATGATGAGAAAACAATTCAGCATTTTCTGAATAATTATTTATGTACAGAGTATTTCTAGTCCAGTTTTGAAAAGTTAGGATCAAAACTCAGACTAGTTCGAAGTGTGGTTCTCAAACAGTTAACGACTGAAAAAAGATGTGCATTTTTAATACAATTGTAATTGCAAATGTGTTTGGCACACTTTACTACAATATAGGAAATAGGTATGTGACCATGAATAAAAATATGTACATGTAATATGTAATAATTACTTGATTTTCATGAATAGCACCCCCCCAAAGGCCAAATCTTATGAACACTTTGCTGGTTGTTAGAAAGTGCCTACATAGAAACACCATTCAAGTTTCATGATGATTGGTCAGTGGTAAGCCTGTCAAATGCCTGCTGAAAGCTTGTTGGCTAATGGCAGCCATCAATTGCAATGTATCAAGTTGTCCTTAGACATTCACTTGTAGTCTGTCTAATAGATGCTACCTGCAGAATTTCAGCTTGATCGGATTTAAGGATGCTGAGAAACAGTTATTTAGCATTTATAATAGCGCCCCCTAACAACATATGCACACCAAAATTGATAGGCTACCTCAGAATCTCCTGCTGGATGAAGGAGTTATAGAATTTTTAAATAATTATGAATTATTTCAGAAGGGTTAATTAGCATGTGGCCGCCATGTTGTTTACAAAAGTCACTTTTTTTAAATAATCATTGAAGTTCAGGCTCTTCTGAATTTTTTGAAACCAGGTACATGAGGATTGAGTGAAAACCCTGGGACTAATTTGGAAAAGTAGGTTTTGCATATTATGCAGTCTAACTATCTAGCTAAAAGTTCCAAGTTGCAAAGTAGTTTGTTTTGACCCAAGGAATCAGAAAAAAATGTGTTTTGTCTCTAAAAAATTTTGTTAAAGAGTTACAGGGCCAAACACGTTGTGCTGCGCAGTAGCGCCCCCTTTAGGCCAATTGGGCTCATGTTATGCGCCTGAGTAGCGGGAGGGAAAACTACCTATTGACCAAGTTTCATGTCTCTAGGACTTACGGTTTGGTCTGGACAATTTGTTTTAGCTGAGAAAAAGAATAATAATAATAAGAAGAAAAACTCTAGCAAATACAATAAGGTCCTACGCACTGCTACGTCGCATCAGTAGAAATCATCATCAAGAACTGCAAGAGCAGGCAGACAAAAATTTTTCCTTTAAAAAACAAGTACAAGGGCAAAGAATGCCCCTAAAGTGACTTCACCATGTGAACGAGTGTTACTATCACACTAATAAAAAAAAAAACAACACTTTATGCATGGCTTCAACTAATGAAGCTTCACCCCACAGGGTGAAAGTGCTCATCTGTACATGAAATGGAACACTGCATTATGTAGCACTCAGTAATGAATCATTTTATACTGAAAGCACAACTTAAAGAGACCAGTTTTCAATTTTCAATTCACTGATTAAAAAATTATCCACTACCCAAAATGGTCTACCACCCAAATAATTACCTGGGCAGTGGTGGTAGTCGTGGTCTCATTTTAACAGAGGGACTACAAGAATGTTTTTGATCTGAGTATGTCCTGAGTTTCAGTTTCGGTGATTCATGTTCATTTCCGTGCATCACAAAAAACACTGACTGACTGGTAATTGACTAGTAATTGTCATGTTTTAAAATGGGAGAAAAACTTTCCAGGTTGAATTGTTGATGTTACAGTTAGCAATACTTATTCCCCAAAAGCCTGTGGAGCTTATTGAAATAAATTGTCTGAATGCAAGTAAGATCTGGCCCAGTGCTGTTGCATGGTCTTTGCCATAAATGAACATCCTCTTTAAATCCATTTGAATAGCTTTTTTTTTATGTGACTCTCAGAACAAAGTTCAGTTGCTGTTTTTTTAAATCTTGAAATCTTGGATGATGGCTCTTAGCATAATACCTTCAGTAGTCATAGTTGTCAAAACAAAACACAAACACTTTTGGGTGGAGCATGGATTGCTCCTGTCAGTAGCTAGTGTTTTTTCTATACTGCTGTTACATTTGTTGCCTAAGTAACTTAAGTACTTGCTTAACACAAGTTCAGTAAGGTTTTTGACCTTGTCTTTTTCTGCTAGCTTACTCAGCTGTCTGAGCAAGCTGTCCTGCGCCTTCCTGCTTTACCAACGCATTCTGATGATGATCCTACATTACAGGTACAGTACACTATCTAACATATGTTTGCAGGGGTCATCAGTTTGAGTTCAGCACATTTTCCTTGCTCAAACCCACTCATTTCAACTCGACAGTTTAGTTACCCGGTATAGTGGATGGGTTTGAGCAATAAAATCACTGAATTTTGCTCAACCCCTTTGTGCAGTTTTAGTCCAGCATTTACACAATCTTTTTTAAATGAATAAAACGTACCCCACTTGCCTATGAGGTACAAAATAAGATGAGGACTCTTGAATTTTAAGTTAATAGTATACATTTAAATTGTAAAAACTGTTTAAAACTACAAAACTACAAATGAGCTATTGAAATACTAGAAATATGTAGAATTGAATAAGTGATTGGGAAGTAATATTAATGAATAGTAAATGTTTGTTTTGTGCAGTTAAGGTTGAATTTTGAAATTGTTTATTGTTGGAAATGGTTGGGCTTGTTTGCACTTGTGGCTGCAATGATGTGTGCAAGTTTTCATGGCAGCTAATTTTTTTCAGCAGGGAAAAAAAAGATAGCATTTTCAGATGTTGTAAAAGCCACAAAAGCGAGGCAAACCATGTGCCATGTGACGGACTTGTTCTTAGAAGCCAGTTGTGTTGACCACTAAGAAAAAGAAAGTTTCCTGTTTTCAGATCTAAGTTGGCACCTAGAGCATGTGAAATGCTGACACAAAACCTGTAAAGACATTATTACAGCATTACTATAAAGACAATATTAAGTAGCAAAGCAGTATGCAATCACCTTTTTACTCTCGAGGTACGTTTATATTTTAATCTTTGTCCCAGCTGCTTGCAAAAATACACAGCAGAAAGTTTTTTCGGTGCACTGTAGATCGTAGTCTGGAGGTAAGTGCATTAAATTGGTCTTTTTTTTTTCTGACCGGAATTTCTGCACTAACCAGGCATTCAGTTTACTGAATTACTGAGCAGCGGCAGTCTAAACTTTCGTCACTGTCCATGTACTTTCGCGGAAATTGACAGTCTTGTTGCAACTCTTTCAATGAAAAATGGTTCCTCATTTTGTTATTGCATGCACAACACACTGCATTGTGATTCAGCGTCTAGGCAGTTTTTTGTAATGCAATGTGATAATCTTTTATATAGCCAGAGTTGCTGATGCTTGGCTGAAACATGCGTTTGCAGATAATATCGTCCAGTATTGAGACTGACTTCTATTACAGCAATACAGGCTAAACTATTCCAAATGAACACAAAAAGAATTGTGGTTCAAAATAAAAAAAAACTTAAAATGCATCCAAACCTAACCTTCAGCATGAGGATATGTTAAAACAAAGAGTGAATGAGAAAAATCTGAATATTATGATGATGTAAAATATGGAAAACAAAAAAGAACATGTTAAACTTTCACAGAAACCACAACTGCCAGGAATTATGGGTAGCTCTGCACCCTGTGTTATTGATATTGCTTGAGATTTGGATTTTGTTCACTTGTCTGGTTACGAAAGGTGACCATTAAGAACATAGTGAGTCATATTTGACCTTTCAGTTTGAAAACTGACAGTCTTTTTCTAGTATTGCTTGAGTCTACTTCATTATGCAGCTCTGAGCCAGTAGCATACCTTTTAACTAACGTATAGTTGGTCCTTTAGGAGCAGATGATGAGAATGGTGCCCAATCCCAAAGCTGTCATGAAGGCTCCTCAGAACAGTAAAGTAACATGGCATGTGAACAACTTCCTGGAAATGGCACATAAGCAGGCAGATCTGCTATTGACACACCCTGTGACTACAGACAGTGGGGACAGTGTCCTGTAATTTTTCCTGTTTTTTTTTTTTTTCCTTTTGTTTTTGTAAAAGTGAAAGTATTTTATTACAAGAGAATGGGGTTTTGTTTTATTGTCAGCTCTGTTATAAATTGTATGTAAATATACTTGATAATAAAAATAATACTGAACTTGAATACAGATTTTAAACAAAATAATTGTTTTTATTTCATAATCACATTATAAGGCATGCACATACATGGCTCTGACCAAGCATAAAATATCAATATTACACTATTCAGAATATTACTGCAATCCAGTTTTAACTCTTTCCTTTGTCTGCTATGTTTTTACTTGTACCTACCATTTGAAATAAAACTTTGAGCACTGTACCACAGAGTTTGATGATTGCATTTAAATCACATTTTATAAGTGCACTCTGATTTTTACCTAAGTAAATTGTGCATCTTATCCTTTTCTGAAATTATTGTGACAGTTTGAACAGCATCAATTTTCAAGCTAATGTGCCACCTGGATCCATTGATTCAATGAAATTGAATCATACAGTTCATCAGCTTTTGCTGAGGTAACAACAAAAGAAAGCAAATGAGTGACTTTTTTGTCTGTTAATTTCTCTACCTGTTAGAAGGAAATGTTGCTGTGACTAATGTGGCATAACTTCCATAACATGTTTTATACACAGCCTGCTTCACATGCAAATGAAATTGCTTTGTCAAGTCTGCTTCAGCCCACAGCCTCAAGAATAATGCAAAATGTTTTGTGTCAAAAGACTGTCCTAGTTGACACAATATTTTACAGTTGTCCACTTGTAACTGTATTGTATCCATTTCTTTTTTTAACTTTTAACAATAATTTGACACTTAAATACTGAAACAGCTTTTAAGTTGCCAAACATTAATGCCCTTACTAAAAAAGTATGCCTACCATCCCTGTGGGCTGTTTAGATTTCAACATTTTCTGCTTCAGACACTCACACTAAAATAAAATATGAAATTACAGTGGTGGAAAATAATGCAGCATGTCTACACATGAAAGAAAAAAAAACTTAAATGTGTTTTCTCTCCTCTGCAGTCATGTAGTTCATAGTTCATAAGTTGCATTTCATACATAGGATTTTACACACAAATTGCAGCAGCTAGGAGTTTTTAGCTATTTACACAAGCATGTTCACTATTAATTTGGTTAATGTGTAGTTAGATACATGCTTTCCCTTGAATAGATTTGCAAGGTAGCTTTGACTTTTTGAAGTTTGCATACCCTTATTCACCAGTGATGAAATCTTAAGATGAATAATTTACTCTTTGGAGAAAGCAAATCAAGCATGATAGAAATGTGAGGTGACACTATCAAGACTTGATAGTGTCGTCTTTGATAGTGGTCTTTTCCTGCTCAATGTCTGTATTACTTAGTCCAGTAACTTAATTGCTGTCCATGTGCTGTGTCTTTGGATGCACTTGCTGTCCAGAAGCAAGTTTCCCTTCCCTCAATTTGAACCAAGCATTCTCAAGAGAGCAAGCAAAACATTCTGTACTGTCCACTTTCAGGATGTTCTTAGAACTGTGAGTCTCTTCGTCGTAAGGACTTCCTGCGCAGAGACTCTGACAGATCCTCATTAAAAATTCGCTCAATTGTTGAGAACAGCGAGTCCCGGACAGTACGGCGCAGTCCGCGAGCAGCAAAGGCATACAGGATTGGGTTGAGAGCACTTTTGATGTAAACTAGGTACAGCGCTGCGTATGCACCCTGTAACGCCCCCTGTTGAATATTTTCCCAACCTTTCCTCTTGAAAGACAATGCCTTCAGAAAACGACAAACGAAGTAGGGCACCCAACAGGTGAGGAACAGGAGCATGGTGAAGAAGAGAATCCGGTACAGGCGGGTCATCTTCTGTGATGGGTAAAGAGGTGCGTTTGGAGAGGTGGGGGAGGAAACGGACGTGGTGGTCGTTGACGCCCTTCTTTCAGCACTTCTTGCACCAAGTAGTACCACCAGATTGCAGGATACGAAAAGCACAAATGGAAGGAGGAAACCTACTGCAGTCTCGAGCACAATCAGGCCAGTTGTAGCTTCTCCAGCAGTCTCCACGCACTGTGTCCGGTTCTGCCAAGGGTAAAGACCACTCACTGAGAAGTAGGGCACGGACAGGGCAGCAGCTATCAACCACAGCACAGCGCAGACTAGGGGCACAACCCAGCGTGGGCGCCTTAGTCGAGCCCAAACAGGCCGCATCAAGCACAGGCACCTTTCCAACGCTACAGCGCTCAGCAAAAAGGCTCCTCCATACAATCCCAGGCAGCGCAGGAACATGATCAGCTGGCACAAAGTCTGACCAAAGGGCCAGCTGTAGTGGTGTGCCAGGTAGCCTAGCATAAGAGGTGTACGCAACAGGAGCACTAGATCAGCCAGGGCTAAATTCACTACGTATACTCGGAAACTTCCAGCACCCTGTGTTTCGCCCCCTACAGCACCACTATGTCGTGCCCGACGAAATCCCAGTACCCAAACCACCAGGCCGTTCAGAGTCACACCCATGAAGAAGATCAGCACAGTTGCCACCATCTGGCTCACCCGTGCCGCCTCATTAGGGTAGGAATAGGAGTTGTTGGAACTTGACTGCTCACCAGCCATTGAATCACTGTAAGGAGTGAAATGAACACAACCACGCATCAGTTTCCAGTGGTGAATTTCTTGAATACATTTCAAACTATAAATCACAAGGTGCACTTCTCTACTCTAAAATGTATGTTGGTCAAGTTTCTTCTCTTTAAATACTCCAGCCTTGCTGATTGTTTCATGGTGGAGGATTCTCCAAAATAGGGGTGGGCAATATGGCAAAAATGTATCACGATACTTCAAGACATTTTCTGAATACATTATATGTAACCCAGTATTTACTTTTTCTGAGCTTTGAGAAGTTAGAAAAGACCAAAAACTAAGAATAGAGTGACAAGGCCTAATTATGTGTTTTTTGTAAATAATTGCACAAAATGCTATGGATCTTTTCATTATTATGGTGGTTATATATCCTGCATGAAGCGCAGTCTTCTGTGCAAGAGGAAGATTGGTATGATATGAAAAGGAGCAGTGCAGAATCAGCGTTTTATGGAACGCTGTGGTTAAAGTTGTGATATTTAACCAGTAACCACAAAGAGGTAAAGTGAACCAAGACACGTAATCACTCTACCATTTCAGTATTACATAAAGGAAATATATTGCACATCGATGCCTTGAACCTTCTAACAGTCTAAAGTAAAACCTATTTTAAACATACAGCATTTAAGCCGTGGTGTCCTGACAGCTATTGCCTCTGAAGATGTCTAGGATTGGATATAATGGAAAAGTATGACGCTTTGAAAAAAGATAAATATATATTACAGATAATAATGTATCTATTGTAATATACCGCACATTATTATTATTATTATTATTATCATTTATTATACATCAATTAGCAGCTATTGCTTCCCTTCTGTGTTACATAATTATGCACTGTGATATTATATAGTCCATCATATAATGTTCCATTTTACAACTAGAAAAAAAAATTGAGTACATGACTACAATAATGCATTTCCTAAAGCAGAGGTGTCAGGTTAAAGGAATGCTAGCCCTTACTGCCTCAGGCAGCAACAAGCAGAACGGACCATTCAGAGCCTGCCTACACCTATCCAAGGGTGCATGCATGGTATGAGAACACACCTAGGCACCCTGCCTAGACTCTTACCCTTTTATTCTAATTTATGACCAGCATACCTTTCTAAGATCTAGCCATTTCCTGACAAAATATGATTTGTAATGGTGAGATTACTGGAGATAATCTTAGTGGAGATAGTTACAGTGTTACTTGAGGCTTACCTGTTGCTGAAGAGGTCTACCTGCTGACATTGACATGAGTTGAAGGAAAAGTCTCCAAGCGTTGTGTGCGGGGGCACAGAGAGTTAGAGTTGGTATTTGAAACAATTAGAGAGGGAGTGTTTCCTCTGGTCCAATCTGTGGATGTAGTGGGCGTGTTTAAGAAAGTGTTTGCTTGTGTCTATGTTCCTTCCTCTTTTGAAATGTTGCCCCATTTTGATTGCAACATAGAAGAACAAATGGTGCTTTGCAATTTGTCAATTGTTCATGCAGTTACATTGATAAGCGACGTTTGTTCACTGGGGGAATGGAGGTTCACTTTTAGTCATTTACAAGCACAAACATATCTTAAGTGCACCGTTACCCATGCTAGAGAGCTAAGATGGCACTCAGAACTCTTAACATGCTACTAGCATAAACCACGGAGGGAACCACTATCTCAAAGTGAATCTCACGTTGTCATGCCATTTCTGTTGACAGCTGCTGAATTTACTATATATCTCTGTTCAGAGAATTTTTTTTACTGTACTAGGAATATTAAAAGTTTGCTTGTCAAAGGTCCATGTATTCTGTGTATGATTAGTCTATCAAAGATTCTAATAATTGGATTTATCTTTAGGACCACCACACTACTACCACATGCCTCTGTGGAAGCAAGGCTGGCGGCCATTTACCATTGTAGAGCAGCTGAAGGAAAATGATGGCAGCAATTTAGCAATTGGGAAAAGGTGAAATCTGGTATCATGCCCAATTCCCTCTCTAACACCGTAAATTTTTTTCTTTGGTAAAATTGAATACTGTTAAGTCTCTCAAATTGGGGCTTTAAGTTTCTACATTTCGTGAAATCAGCATCATTGCGGTAAATGTTTGCCCAAGTACTGTGTGCTTCTTGTTCCTTTGCATGAGGACGTTGTGGCAATACAGAGGAGTTCCTTATTTCAAGTTCTGGTATGTGTGTTGCGGTATGTGTGTTTTGCCAGTAAAAACACTACACAACATTATACATTACATACAACATTAACATAAGTACTGTACAAAGTAATTAAATACAAAAAAGTTATTAAAATCTTGGTTATAAGAATCCTGACCTCTTCAGTCATTGCATGCATTTGTTTAATTCCATGAGCAGCACACCTGATTTAATTTAATTTTAGGGTTGATTAGATAAACTAGGTATTGGATGGTAACTTTAAATCGTGGGCTTCCTTGAGAAGAATTGGTTAAGCTAAAAGACCTAAGATTGCAAAGTGTTTATTTGTATCTTTGTATTTATTATATTATTTTAAAATATTTGTAACAACATTGTAACAAATATACAGCTACTGCTCAGTTAAAAAAAGGCTATAGATATTTACTCAAACGGCTAAGACTTTTGCACAGTGCTGTGTGTTTGTGTACTTTTTGTTTGCCTTTTTGTTTTTGTTTTTTTGGGTAATGTCTTATTGTCCATGTAAGGACAAGAGAAATTGCTGATCCCCATAGGGAAAATATATTCTCATAAAAAATGCAGGAACCAAGGCTCAGTTAGCTGAACTCTGATTCACTGCAAACTACCGGAGGCCTTTCTGCAAAGCTTTTCTTTCAAATCAAATCTGCATACTCGGATGTTTATCATTAGCACTTAATGTGCAAGGGGACCACATAACTGAGAAAGCCATCACAGGTGTGGTATCCTGTCTGTGATTTTATCATGTTTTTAAAGCTTATTTGTCTCTTTCTCACGTTACTGGTGCATTTTTCGTGCATAGACAAGCATCATTCACATCCACGCATATAGAAATAGCTTAATAAAAGTAGTCTCTCTGCCATTCACTTCCTCCAACTACTATGTGTACTTTTTCCTCTTTCCTCACAACTTTGACACGATGCTCTACTGATTCTACTCGTCTGATGTGCAGAACTTCCTCTAATTCACAGCCACTTAAATAAAGACTTTCCAGCTGGTGCTTTGCAAAGATTCAATGGTTCAAAGTAACATATGTCATACATACATTTTTTATTTTAAAGGTGCCACAAAGTTCTTCGAGCAATGCTACTGAAAACCACTTTTGGTTTCTTAAAGAAGCATTTCTGAAAATGTGATCAGTGACTGTGAACAACCTTTTTTTGTGAAGATTTTTCTTCATTGTAATGTAAAAGTTCAATAAGTTGAGGGTTCTTCCTACACCCTTTACATCATGTAGAGGTTCTTTACACGCACTAGTCTCATTTCCAAATGGGGTTCTCCCTAGAACCGTCAATGGAAAGGTTTATGAAGGAACCAGAAGTGGTTCTTCTAGGGAATTGTGCAAGGAACACTTTGTGGCACCTTGATTTTTAAAAGCATAACAAATATAAAAGGTTCCAAATATATCAATGCACAAGGCTACCAGCTGAAAGCTGTACTACTAGTCAACAAACTGATCAGCACTGCGTGTCATTGCTGTCTATTACCAACAGATGGCCATGTTTCTCTTCATAAATCTCTTCACAGTCTGTTTTTCCACTTGATTTACAAGGTTTAATACTGTTAACAAGACAACTGTTCCTTACAGATACTGTTTTTTATTTTTATCCTGCAAATAAATAAGGCTCTTTCATTACTCTTCGTTGGGACCTATCGGTCAATAGGGGATGCGGCTGTAAAAGAACATTGGTGTTTGTCTTTCACTCCTAAACAGATGGACCTAGCAGATGGTGAATTATGGCTAAGAATGACCATAATTCCAAATCTTCTAACAGTGAAGTTTTTGATCTCATTGATGAAGAAATATCTCTATTACTTATACTAAGGTTAAAAATGAAGTTGGAAGGAACTCAAGCGCTCCTCTGAGAGTAAAGCAACAAGAAATGAAACAGACAGGTATCATCAGATGTAGTATTCTTGATATGGAGAGAGAGAAAGAGTAAGGATTGTTAAGAATGCTTTGCTGGAAATAACTATTCACTCCTACTGCGGAATTACAAAATAGAAAATTTGATGTCTAGCTTTAGCTCTGTCAAAGGAAACATTAAGATATGAAAAAGATTTTCAGTGTTTCCATAAAGAGCCCTTGTTTGTTTATTTATTTTATTCTAATTTATTTTTTATAATTACAACAAAACTAAATTTGGACCAAATATGACAACAAGGGACTGTGCCAAATGAGCTCTTATACGATCATAATGAAAATGGTTTGAACTGGAAGATTAAATACCATAAAAGAATAGTGATCTTCTCAGTTCTATCAGTCTCTTACTTAAAGACTAAATGTCTTGGCCAAAGTTAGCAGTACTAATCAGATGTGCCTGATGTCGACCTAATTATCTTATTTGAAAAATGTAGTTAATTTTTAATAGAACAAAAAGGAATATTTAAGTTTATCTTACAAATCAAAGCACCACAAAACCATCAAAGAAACCTAATTTGTGAAACACATACATACTCTCTTATTCTTGTGCACTGTAAAAAGTGGAACAAGGTGGAAATAGTTTGAAGTATTTTTTTAGGTTTAAATGGATGTAAAATACTGATTTTGTTGCAATTTGCTTTGCATTGTTTCATTCAATATATTTGTATTTGTAATTTGACCAGTAAAACTGCTTATTATTAGGAACTGATGATGAACCATTTCTTGCATAGTAGTACTTTAATTCAGTTTACCCAACAGAATTTTTGTGCACAAACTGATTGAATAATTATTTTATTACTTTATTGTTTGTTGTGGCGGAGAGGGCGATGATTAGCACCTAGCCTACACTATTACTACAGTACTAATCTACCATATACCATCCAGCATAACAATACTGTGAAGAAAATAATTTGGTAATGCTTTACACAAACTGAAACATAAAATATTCATGAGCAGTACAGTAACACTCCATCACAGGTACATACACTGACCAGAAGCTTCATTAAGTTCACCACCTTGTATATCTACATTCCATTTAATCAGTTCCACTTACCAAACAGGTGCACTTTGTAGTTCTTCAATTACAGACTGTAGTCCATCTGTTTCTCTGCATACTTTGTCAGCCCCCTTTTATCATGTCCTTTAATGGCCGGACCCCCACAAAACGACCACAGAGCAGGTGTTACTTGGGTGGCAGACAGTTCTAAGTACTGCAGTGACACTGACATGGTGCCTTATTGGTCCACCTTGCAGAAGTAAATTTAGATACAATAGCTCATCTGTTGTGCAGCTATTAAAACACAAATTGTGTTAGTCATCCTCTAGTCCTTCATCAGTGCTAACAGGATGCTGCCCATGGGATGCTGTTAGCTGGATATTTTTGGTTGTCGACTGTTTTCTGAAAATTGAGGGTTTGATTCAGTTTTCAACTATGGAACAACAAACAAGAAAATCAGACGTGAGCAAGAATCATGAATATTGTGATTGAAATTAGAGTCAAATGTTGACTTACAAATAATCAAAACAACACAGAAGCTGTCTGTGAAAACATATATTCATATATTCCTATACTTATGATTGTTTATTTTTGTTTGAAAATGATTGTTTTCACATGCAAATCAATTTGCTCAACTCACTTAAAAAAGTCACTACAGAATAATGATTAATGATCACATGTCGCGTATCACTGCTGGTAGCTTACAGCAAATCCTACCAGGTCGCAATTTATTACATGCAATATACCCAGCATTCACATGGACATAATGTTACTTGTGAGGACTCTACACTATATGGTCAAAAGTGTGGTCACTCATCCTAATTATTAAGTTCAGGTGTTTCAGCTACACCCTTTGCTAACAGGTGTATAAAGTCAAGCACATAACCACGTCATCTCCATGGTAAACATCAGCAGTAGAATAGGTCATACTGAAGAGCTTAGTGACTCTGGAGTGATGAATCACACTTCACTTTCTGGCTATTTGCTGGATGAATCTGGGTTTGGCGGCTGTCAGGAGAACACTACCTGCCAGCAGGGGCAGTCTTTGCACTAGGCAAAGGTAGGCAGCCACCTAAGGCCCCCATATATATATATATATATATATACACATTATGGCAAGCCAAACAGGAAATATTTAATGAACATTGATATATATGGAATGAACTTTGATATATATACAATGAACTTTGATATATATGGAATGAACTTTGATATATATGGAATGAACTTTGATATATATACAATGAACATTG